CTGTAAATAATTTTCAACAGTGTACATATTGGAAGACTATCTATTGAATAGAAGACTAGATGATTCCGCAAAAATGTAAATAACAATGATATCAAGCTTTCAATAAAAATTGAATCACTATATTTCAAATAAAAGAAAACTAATACACTGACCTGAACAGGGTCAAAAATAAATGGAATTAGTTTAGAGTAAGATTGGTCATCTGATTAGGTTAAGAGTTCACATGAACAACACACGTGCATATAAGAATTATTGCATTGATATCAACAATTCATTCTGGAAATTTATTCTGAAAATGAATGGATAAGTGAAATGTGTGAAACTTTGAAAGTTATTCTCCAGAGGATGTATATTATTTATGCGTTGAACTACTGGTCTAAAGTACTTTCACGTTACTCTAATCTCATTTGATTTCATTAAACTCATTAACTGTTGATTTATCTATAACCGTACAGAATTTTCAACTCATTATTTATATATTTGTTACTCAGTTTCAGATCATAAATGACTTAGTTATGTACAGATTGAGATTTTTTATTTATGGTATGTCTATATATAAGGCCATTTGAAAATGAATAGAGAACTAAATAGGGTAGAGCAATAGTTACACAGAATTCGGAAATTGATAAGATGGACTGTGTAATAACTAGAGAAGATTTAATGAGTTTACAGAGATTTTAACAATCAGTTTAGTCAATATTACATATGAATCAAAAGATAGTTATAAGGTGGATAAAATAACGAACAACAAAATACAAATTAATAATAATAATATTTGGAAGAAATTGAAGGAGAATAATGAATTTAGCATAGCAGTGATTAAATAGCAACTATTTCTTTCCGCGCATATTGGTTTAACAGTCGAATTCACAAGTCGATGTAAGTGAGACCACCATTGGATACCTAGAAGCACTGGACGACTGTTTCATCCTAGTATGCGACTTATCAGTAGTGCATAATCACGTTCTCGAATATGGGAATAGTACCCAGGACCTTCGGTCTTGCACGAAAACACTTAACCTCTAGACTACTGAGTATGCATCTAAATGTGTTAATGTCTAACTTCAATCAATCCATGATCTTGTGCAACTCTTAATTCATTGTCTGAGATGGATAACTGTCTCTATCCGACACGGTTGGACTCCAATGGTCACGACTTCTCACGAATCAACTAGTGAGCACATAATTATCATCAGTATGGGGATCTGTAGAAATGGTTAAAATACTCCAATCTCGACAGTGATCATATTAATTTAGTTTACTTTTAAACAGTTACCGCTTCAGTGAAGTAATTGAAGTTGTGTTTTTTTTATTTGCTGATAATTTCGAACAATTGATAAAAGTCGGATAATGTGCCCATTGATGATGAAATGTTGAACTATTGTATTGTAGCACCTTTTAATCATAAGTTCTTTGAAATGTATTAGATCTTACCTAATTCATAATAAAATATACATACTATCTACTAATATGTTTTGAATATTATTGCAAAAACCAAATACCTACTATCATAGATTTCATTAGTTTATCAATAATATAGTTTTACCGCTTAAATGTATACAACTTGCAAAATCATTTGAGTCTATCAGATTTCTAACACTATTCTCTTTCTTGAAAACAAAATATAACCGACAGTTACTGTTGAATATTTGGGGTCGGCGTAACTATCGTAACCAGTGGTTGGAGATTTTCTGTGACGTGGCTTAGAAGCGATCACAATGGCGTAGGTGTATACACTCTCTATCTTCCCTTAAACTAAGAGATTAAAATTGCTACATATCTTTCTTTCTACGAACTAATTCTTTCTTCCTGTACTATATCCTCATATGCAATCTTTCTCCTATATATTACCACCTTTGACCTAACCACTCCTATGAATCCGGTGTTCATCTTGCTGTGCTAATGCGGTATGGCAACCTGGACCGATGCGTATATGTGCCTGGTCCTAAGTTGTAGCTGACTGACTGACTGAATGTATTGTAATGTATCTCTATTGTAATTACAATAATTATAAAAGTGTTGAATAAAATGTCAAAAACAGGTACTAATATAAACTGAAATGATAATATTGTAAAGAAAATATAAACAGGGGGGAGGGGCAAATCATATGATAATTGACAATACAAAAGAGCTTGATTTTAATTCATTATTATAATGTATAAATAATTATTTATGAAAAGAGAATTAATGAAAGGATCTACAACAGGATTTTGATTCCTTTTTTCATACTTGATAATGTCTTAAACGATCGGGTTGTATGATCTCTATAAGATTTGATCCAGAATGTTGTGATAGGCCAAAAGATTTCAAGCCAAAGTAACTATTTATCATTCCACAGATATATTCCATAAACATGTTATATCCCGACGAGAATAATGAATGCTAACTGTTAGAATCTATTTATGGACTAATACTATACACATATTTTTATTGTGTAATTGTTAAGTAACTAAACTATGTATATTCATATCCCTCTTATTTTAAGCTTTATTTTGACCTATGAACTATTATTATACGATTTACCGTTCTTGGGTTATGCCCTGTCTATCAATCACTATGTCCCTTATTCATAGCCACATTTGACTAAATCTTGTACAAATGTTGTTTTCTATTTTACGGTGCGATGTGATCTGTTTGCTTTGTATATAAACCCAGTATGTTTGGAATACATGATTCATATCTCAGAGGCTGAGATTGGTGTTCTGGACTTAACAGACAGGCCTAAGCAGGAAGAAGGACCGATAAGGACTGTTCGTACGGGTTTACGCGTCATTGGTTCGGCCGATAAGTCACTGTTCTCTAATTGACGGTGTATGATGATTAGCAGTATTTGAATTATAGTACAAACTAAGAATCCCAGAAATGACGTAATCGGATGAACAAGTACTAGATAAGCACGAACGAATGCACCGTATTTGGAATTCGAAATCAAGCATTCAACAAGTACAAAGGAATCATTAGTTCATTCAAACACCACACGTTATATATTAACAGAGCACAAGTTATAAAACGAACCTCGCTGCTTTAACTTTTCAGTCTAATTATGACATCGGTCAACTGGGTTTAGTAAGGAAGGCTCCAAATATACTAAAAAGGGACACTCATTTTTAATAGATAATTTTAAAGAATAATTATGTACAAAGAAACAAAACCTCACCTGGTAATAAAATGTGGTGACACATGTGAGGGTCTGAGTATTTGAAAGGGAAAAAATGAGTGATCAATAAGTAACTAAATGAAATCTGATTTACGCTTCAAAAATGAGCTCATAGCACGTTTTGGGAAACCTGAACAGTATGTTAGTAGTCACCGATGGGACCAGTTATATTCAAGAAAATATTACGTAGATAAAGCATACCTTTTATGAATTTACTGCAGAGTGCAAAAACAATTAATTTCTCACACATTTTCCGAACCGTTCAGACGATTCGCTCACCAGAATGTCCCCTTTGTCATAGAAAAAATACTGATATAAGCTGTCTGAAAAAGACTACTTGTGACACTATAATGAGTAATGTTTCCTTTAAAACTCCGCTTTCTTGGACAGACTGATATCTACCATTCACGCAAATCTGTTGTTTAACTATGTTCTCTCCCCAGACCTGAAGGACTTTGGATAGATCTCCCTGATGCAAGGAATAAACATTGCCGAAGTCTCGTAACGATGACTATCCTAGGAATTTATTAATCAATTACTTACGTATCAATATAGTCTAAATGAGATCGATAAACCTAACTATTGTAATTACTAATTAAAAATACATTCATCTTACGATCATATTTGCCTGCTCCTTGGTGCTAATCGAATTCTACTGACCACTGGTTTAGAAAAACACTTACTACGTGTACCACTTTTCTACGTTGGGAGACTCCACATACCTGATAGGAAACCCTGACCGACATATTTCAAGCTAGTTGACACTCGTTTACATGATGAGAATTGTTGCTATCGGTGAGGAACGAGACCATTTCACCCCGGCATCACACTCAAAAACGTCACTACTAAACTATTAGGACCGTAACTGACAACCTGTAGGACTGAGATGTTTGCACTGTTATTGTCAATAACATATTTGTGTAAGCTAATTGATGCTGATTGAATTTTAACGCCCAACGACTTGTTTTCTGTCAACTGATACTTGTAAAACCATTTTACATCAAAATATTAATCCTACTTCACTTTGTAGAAGACTGCAATAAAAAAACTCAGAATGTGTATTTTCTGCCATAAAAAACTCAACCAATACATCCTAGTTCACAAGTTCCGTGTGCTTTCTCTTTTGATATTATTAGTTAACTGAGATTTCAAATAATCGTTTGAGGTAAAAGAAGATAAACAAAGCATAAAATAATGATAGTTCAAGATAGAAAGGAAGATTGGTTAGATAATCAAATAAAAATCGTTGTTAACTACAAGGAGAAATCAAAGATAACCGGGAAGAAAACACAGGCATCATTTCATCACAAACAACTTCCAACATACCTCTGCTAGAGAATACATAGTCGCTAAAGAAACACGTAGAACTGATGATATCCAGTCATTTGTCTTTCTTCAGATGTACGCTCAAGAAGCATGTGAATAAAACAATGCTGGAAGACAAAACCGTCAAATTGTAATGTTAACAATAAAAATAATAATACATGTGATTACAAAATAAAGATAGAAGAGGAATTACGATAGCCAAGCATGTGAATAAATAAATAAATAAATAAATGAGTCAATAATTTTGATTTAATTCTCATAATTAGCTGAGATTAAACTTGAGTTTACACTGTGAATATCACAGAATAGGATGTGGAGGATAGATTGAGCAAGATAAATAAATAAATAAATAGATTTAATACACAATAACTAAATATGTATAAATCTTGAATTAGATAGTGTGCGTGAGTGTGCGGATTCATTTGAAGGAGAATAAAGACAGTGAAAGAACTCTTGAGTCGATTGGAAATTAATAGAAAAAATAGAATATAATGATTGTATTTTTTCTAAAAATTAATCATAATAAATCGTCAATAAACTCTTTATACTGTTGAACGTGACTAGAATTATGCAATGACGACAGCTCTCTAGGTAAATTCATCTCATTCATGATTAAGTTGCAAGAAGAGTTTATTGTATGAGGTGATGATGATGATGATGATGTTGATTTAATGTCATGTTTAACTTGATCATCAGTGAGTAAAGATGACTGATCAATAACTACTAATGTAGAATTAACATTTTTAGGAATCATTGAATTAAAATTATAAAATGCATTATCACCTTCACGTATATCTTTTGATGGCTGTTCACATTGTTGAAAGTTCACATCGATAAGACTGACTTGTGGATGAGTAGTAACAGACCCTGGTACTAGTGGAGGTGGCGGTGGATATCGGACAATATTTAATTTATTCGAATGGGAATTACCTTGAGAAATTATAGGAAATTTTGGATTAAGTTGAGTACGCTTTTCAGTACTAACTGTGGAATTATTAATATTTGTAGTCGGTGCAATTGTAAGTGTTGGTAGATTATTAGATGAATAAGTGTAAACTGAAGATTGACCTATTAACGGATTGATTTGAAGTAATGACTCTGTTGAAGGATGTATGGATCCAATAGATTCAGAAGGATTTTGACTATCATTGGTACTACAGTCTGTATAAATTGGTAAAGTATCACAGTGTAATTTTCGACTGCTAACGGAAGGCATTTCAGTATTCTGGTTAAAAATATTAGTTAGAACAGAATCCATGAGGAATGCCATTTTCTGAAATTAGAAGTAAATAAATAACTCTTGACAGAGAAAATTGGTACTATATTAATTGAATAATTTCAACTGCTGTTAAAGTATACAGAAAAAACTATAGACAGAGATGGATGGTGGCTAGCAGTGAAGTTCAGGATGCCGTCTCGTCTTATTTGGGACTCGTTAGACGAATGTACCTGCATCCCAGAGTTGATATTCACTCCAAGGCTCGAAACTAGTATCATTCACTTCAAACGCCATAGTGTTATCCACTTAGCTACCGATTTCAGATAGTCACTAGCTTAATGTTCGCAATAACTATTACAATTTTAACATAAATCAATCAATCAGTTAGTCATAAACGTATAACTTCATAAATCTGTCCATTGGTCCCAACAGCTACACTACATCAGCACAGATAGATGTCAAATTATTAGTAGTGGGGGCAGAATCACTGGTTGTAGAAAACATGTGGCACAGACAATATGATTCGGCAGGAAAGAATGAGTTTGAACAACAAAAAGTATGAGATAATTTTAAAACTAATGATCTAAGAGAAGACAAAGAATGAGTGCATCTGTTCCACTGCGAGTCATGTTGTAGTGAACAGAACACCAGTATGGACCAATCCAATGTATTTAACACAAAATTATAAGACTTGTTAATAAAATCTAACAATCATAAAGTAAATGCTTAATTTGCAAAATGTCCGCAAATTGTCTCAAAATGACTCACACTTCATTGTTCTTGCATTTTCATACAAATTGCATCCTGTCCCCATTCTTTACTGTTCGATCCTCTTGTCTCTCTGCTGTCAGACCTATTCACGACTAGCATCATATACTACTTATGTCAATATAAGTAGCACACACCACAATGTCACTTAGCATCTATAATCACTAGTCACAACAGTCACGCGGATTCCAATCAAGTTATTTGGAACTATATACACTGCACAAACCAACAGTCAGCGAGTTGATAGACTGATACCACGTCTTAGCTTGATCGTCCTCAGTTTTGTTCTAACCTACTCCTACACCAGTCAACGTATTGTGTCGAGGTAGGCAGTGACTGTCCATACGCAACATATACCCAAATTTCAACTTAGTCGATGAAGAGTCACCACCTTATCAATCTACTTGCCATTTATAACTCATTAACCAACCATAGGTTTTCAATACTTTAGGCTTTGAGTCGCAAGTGCTAATAAAACCACAGAGGTTTATCCAAAAAGAAATAAATGAAGTGATGTTCGGACTAGTGAGTTAATTGTTTAATTACAACTGATTTAATCAATAAGTTACTGTTCCACAAAAGTGTAGTTCAAACTCCCTTTATAATCCTGTTTAATGACCATTTGATAAAATGTTACACAATAAACGGGATAGTATGATAAAACTTCGAACAGATAATTATGGTGATGGGTTTGTTACTTACATCCACGTAGAAGTTAAGGTAATTAATGACCAGTAAATGACAATAAATATGTTGGTTACATTAAAGCTTGATGAATACATACACAAATGTCATTATTTTTCACGTATAATTATTTAAAGTTTACAGGTAGAAGCAGTTATCTTACAGACTTTAACTAAAAAGGAAACGCTTTCATAAATGAATGAAATTGATGGTGTAAATCTGCACAATCGGTTCTGTATGTGAATAGGCGCACATGCCATTTGATTACAGAGCCCTGTTCACAAAGAGATTACATATATATTTATAAAGACAAATCAGTCATGCTTTCTATTTAATATAGTGATGCCTAAATAGGTGATGGTCGTTAAATGAATATAACTGACTATTACGGTAGATTTCCCTTTTTCTCCCAACCTCTCTTATTAGCTTATAGTTTTCATCCTTAAAGTGTCTTTTTGTATAGCAATCGTTAAATCTATTCGATGGTGTTTAATATCTCCAATCCCCTACTTCGAACTCCAACTAACAACACAAAATATAAAAACCATACTAATTAAATCTACCTTCGTTATCTAAACAATCAACAATGAGCAGCAGAATGGACTACCTTGTGTTTTCTCTCGTAATATGAAAGTAGTTCAAATGTATAATAAAAATTTTTCAACAAGCTCCATCATAAGCACGGGCGGTAATGACATAGCCTGGTTGCACAAAACGAATTAGCTGGAGCGGAGTTCGAACTAAGGACTTAGTGGCCCGAAGTTGAACCCCTTATCAACTAAGCTACAACTCAAGAATTTTGCCACTTGGTAGCTCGTTTATCAGGTACAGACTCGTGCCCCTGACTTTGAGACACACTTATTGTGAGGATTAGTGGTACCAACACGGAACCAAAACCGAACCAGGTGGAGTGAGATTTAAACCTGCGATTTGGTGGATGAAAGCTGAGTATTAACAAATGAACCAATTAAAATGGTAGTGAACAAATAAAAAAATTATCTAATATCCAGCAAAGATGTGCACTGGTCGAAGTTGAAACGCCTGAGATCAGTAGACTGAAGTTAACAACAAGAGGAAAAATCACTGAAGATTATTACAGTAGCAGAAGTTAAAACATAAAAATATGAGAATACAACAAAGGGAGTGAAGGTGTGAGGGGATGAAAAGTAATGAGATGATAGAAATTCCCAAGATCAACAGCGGGTTGACAAATGAACGGACCTATGTCATCAAGACTGATGTCCGATAATGAAACTTCTACATTCATGTACAACTTAAATCAGTGACTTCATGAACTTACTCATCTATAACCCACTTAATACCAACCCAATTTTATGCTGAATACAGAATCAAAAAAGGAGTTGGATGGGTATTTACAGAACAAGCCCTAATAGATTAAGTCAGTATAAGTTTACAAAAACATACCCATTAATTTCCCATAACTACTTAACACTAAGAGGAACAAAAGTACAGTTCCCTTGACAGTAACACTATAACCAGATAAGGCTTTGATGATATCCAAGATCAAATACTTGTAAATTAGTTTTTGTATCTATTTTTATCATGTATATGTTGAATTGACTGTTAATGTTTGTAAAGATGGTGTTTTATTTTGTCAGTGAACTCTGAAAACTGAATATATGCTAAAAAAATAAGCGCAGTCTTACGTGTGCACGAATTTGATAAAATGACTGAACTGTACAATCTTTTGATCCCAATTTAACCTTGCATCAATCGAAAAGCGAGTTGTTAACAGTGTATGCTGGACAACTCGATTATTTAGGCACATATTATAATCACATGGTTCGCAGTAAAATCAAAATAATAGCGAATGAGATTTATTAATCAATTAAAACAGATGACCTTATATTGCTTTTACAAAAAAACAGCAAGCTTACTAAAAAATAAATATCATCCATTAATACTGTCAACTATGCCCCCTGAATGCCCTGGTACGGCCGAGAGTGGGGAGAGTCCGCTCTCCCTCTCGAAATACTCTCACACGGCCACGCGTATATAGCCTCTGCCAGGGAAGTCCTACTCATTGCCTTCTCGTGGCGGGGGTGTTGTTTACGAAAATGAGAGGACGCGGATTCCAAACCAATGGTGCACATGGGCTCCAGTATCCTGCGGGAACAAATGGCGTATGAACCAATCGTTGGTCACCGGCTACCATGGGACTGCATCTCCTTACGATGCTCCACTGCCTTGTGGGTTAGACCTTTAGGTCAAAGGCTCGGGGAGTGGCCCCCTAAGATAACCACCTGCTTCGGTTTGGGCACCCGGGCAGTATCACAGCCCACACACAAATGATGAACTGTTTATGTCTATGGAAACTACTTTTGTCGCTTTGAAAAACAATCAATTGATTCAAATTATGATCACTTCAATTATTGTCATTATTAATACTAATATTATTATTACTACTATTATTGTCATTATTGTTATTATTATCATTATTATTATTATTTTCCACATTATTCACCTTCTTTTATACTTATACAGCGGCTCGTCTTTGGTGGAATTCCGACTGTATCTAAACGTTCTCGAGTCACTGTCCGGTTGAAAATTGTATGTTACCACCGAATACGAGGACTGAAGCAGATTTTCTGAAACCACGTGCATCATTCAAACTGGCTGCCTTCAACGTTCGCACATTTCTGCAGGTCGGACAACAGATAGGGCTGGCTATGTCTTTGGAAAGTCTTAATATCGACGTGTGTTGTCTATCCGAGACCCGTATTCAAGACTCTGGCGAAGTACTACAAATTCGATCTCCATCTGTCGCTTCGAAAAGCTTGTTTTACGTGCGCTTATCCGGGGACCCTGTGGCATCTTCGTCTGGTTTTGCTGGCGTTGGTGTCGCACTAAGCGCTAGAGCTGAGGCAGCACTAATTGATTGGATCCCCATTAACAGTCGGTTATGTGCTGTTAGATTAGAAAGTTCCATCAAAGTGAGAAGAAATCGGCGTGAGAAACGATGTCTTTTCGTCATCTCCGCCTATGCCCCGACAGATTGCAGCCCGGATGCAATCAAGGATGAGTTTTACCACCAGTTATCAGTTCTTCTCCAGAAAGTGCGTTCGACAGATATTGTAGTACTAGCCGGAGACTTGAATGCTCAGGTCGGGCGTCTAGGCACAGAAGAGAGTCGTTTAGGTGGCCGATGGGGACTCGTTGGTCGCAGGTCAGATAACGGGGACCGTCTACTGCAACTTTGCGCAGACCACAACCTGTTTCTGGCTAGCACTAACTTTCGGCACAGTCATCGCCGATGTGCCACCTGGCGTCCTCCCTCTGCATCTCAAGCCTGGACTCAGATTGATCACATCGCGATCAGCTACCGCTGGCGTGGTTGTGTACAAGACTGCCGCTCCTTTTGGAGTACCTATCTGGACTCTGACCACGCCTTGGTCTGCGCCAATCTTGCCTTACTTTTCAGTGGACAACGAAGTGAACGCCATCAACGGATTGATGTTAGCAAGCTGGTTGCAACTTCTGTTGCAAGTAAGTATCGAACCGAGCTAGCCTCTAGGCTAGCTACCACTCCACCGAAAAGTATAGATGAGCATTGGTTGCAATTGCATGACGCCATGAAAATG